GTGGCCTAACGGATAAGGCGTCGGCCTCCTAAGCCGAAGATTGCAGGTTCGAATCCCGTCGGAGGTACATGTTGTGCATCTTTTTACCTTTCGTCGAAAGGATGAATGAAAAGCAATTACTTTAAATATATAGCCTTTTCTATATCAGTATACCATGCATCGTCAGTGAAGATTTTTTATCTACCACACCCCAGACACAGCCTTCGTGGCCTAACGGATAAGGCGTCGGCTTTCTAAGCCGAAGATTGCGGGTTCGAATCCCGTCGGAGGTACATCTTTGGCATCTTTTTACCGTTCGTCCAAAGGATGAATGAAAAGCAATTACTTTAAATTTATAGCCTTTTTATATCTCGCATGGTTAGTGAAGATTTTTTAGCTACCACACAACAGCACAGCCTTCGTGGCCTAACGGATAAGGCGTCGGCTTTCTAAGCCGAAGATTGCGGGTTCGAATCCGTCGGAGGTACATGTTGTGCATTTTTACCGTTCGTCGAAAGGATGAATGAAAGCAATTACTTTAAATTTATAGTTTTCTATATCTCGCATATTTAGTGAAGATTTTTTAGCTACCACACCCCAGACACAGCCTTCGTGGCCTAACGGATAAGGCGTCGGCCTCCTAAGCCGAAGATTGCGGGTTCGAATCCCGTCGGAGGTACATGTTGTGCATCTTTTTACCGTTCCTCGAAAGGATGAATGAAAAGCAATTACTTTAAATTTATAGCATTTTCTATATCTCGCATGGTTAGTGAAGATTTTTTATCTACCACACAACAGACACAGCCTTCGTGGCCTAACGGTTAAGGCGTCGGCTTTCTAAGCCGAAGATTGCGGGTTCGAATCCCGTCGGAGGTACATGTTCGGCATCTTTTTACCGTTACTTTAAATGATGAATGAAAAGCAATTATTAAGAGGGAGCCATTAATAACCAAGAGGCAGCCTTCGTGGCCTAACGGATATGGCGTCGGCCTCCTAAGCCGAGGATTGCGGGTTCGAATCCCGTCGGAGGTACATGTTGTGCATCTTTTTACCGTTCGTCGAAAGGATGAATGAAAAGCAATTACTTTAAATATATAGCCTTTTCTATATCAGTATACCATGCATAGTCAATGAAGATTTTTTATCTACCACACCCCAGACACAGCCTTCGTGGCCTAACGGATAAGGCGTCGGCTTTCTAAGCCGAAGATTGCGGGTTCGAATCCCGTCGGAGGTACATCTTTGGCATCTTTTTACCGTTCGTCCAAAGGATGAATGAAAAGCAATTACTTTAAATTTATAGCCTTTTTTATATCTCGCATGGTTAGTGAAGATTTTTTAGCTACCACACAACAGACACAGCCTTCGTGGCCTAACGGATAAGGCGTCGGCTTTCTAAGCCGAAGATTGCGGGTTCGAATCCCGTCGGAGGTACATGTTGTGCATCTTTTTACCGTTCGTCGAAAGGATGAATGAAAAGCAATTACTTTAAATTTATAGCATTTTCTATATCTCGCATGGTTAGTGAAGATTTTTTAGCTACCACACCCCAGACACAGCCTTCGTGGCCTAACGGATAAGGCGTCGGCCTCCTAAGCCGAAGATTGCGGGTTCGAATCCCGTCGGAGGTACATGTTGTGCATCTTTTTACCGTTCCTCGAAAGGATGAATGAAAAGCAATTACTTTAAATATACAGGGTGTATCAAAAAAAAGGTAATCCAACTTCAACACGCTATTGTACGTGAACTACTCAGTCTATGAACGAATTTTTTTCACATCCGGAAAGATCAGGCTTTTAACTATCGGATGACATGTTTTTTAATACCAAATGGTGAAAAAATGAGCAAATAGGAGGCTGATAAAAAGTGTTAGTCAAAATGCATATTTTCACCTTTGAGCCTAATTAAAGCAGTGCATAACAAAAGAAAAAAACAATTAATCACAACATGTCACAGCTTGCACTGGTTTTATGCCGCATTGCTTAGAATGTTCTCCTGATGTGATTTATTCCTACTTAATATGCATATGCGGGTAGTTTATTCAAAAGCAAAATTCTTCATTTAAATCCCAAGAGAGTTAATTTTCAATGGTTTTAGTCCCAACTCTCAGAGGTGAAAATATGCGATTTTGACTAACACTTTTTAGCAGCCTCCTATTTGCTCATTTTTTCACCATTTGTTATCAAAAACATGTCATTCGATGGTTAAAAGCCTAACCTTTCGGAATGTGAAAAAAATTCGTTAATAGAATGAGTAATTCACGTACAATAGCGCACCAAAGTTGGATTACCTTTTTTTTGATACACCCTGTATAGGCTTTTCTATATCAGTATACCATGCATCGTCAGTGAAGATTTTTTATCTACCACACCCCAGACACAGCCTTCGTGGCCTAACGGATAAGGCGTCGGCTTCCTAAGCCGAAGATTGCGGGTTTGAATCCCGTCGGAGGTACATGTTCTGCATCTTTTTACCGTTTATCCAAAGGATGAATGAAAAGCAATTTACTTTAAATTTATAGCCTTTTCTATATCTCGCATCGTCAGTGAATATTTTTTAGCTACCACAACCAAGAGGCAGCCTTCGTGGCCTAACGGATAAGGCGTCGGCCTCCTAAGCCGAAGATTGCGGGTTCGAATCCCGTCGGAGGTTCATGTTCTGAATCTTTTTACCGTTCGTCCAAAGGATGAAAGAAAAGCAATTACTTTAAACATATAGCCTTTTCTATATCTCGCATCGTCAGTGAAGATTTTTTAGCTATCACAGCCCAGACACAGCCTTCGTGGCCTAACGGATAAGGCGTCGGCTTTCTAAGCCGAAGATTGCGGGTTCGAATCCCGTCGGAGGTACATGTTCTGCATCTTTTTTACCGTTCCTTAAAATGATGAATGAAAAGCTATTATTTTAAATTTAAAGCGTTTTCTATATCTCGCATCGCCAGTGAAGATTTTTTAGCTACCACGACCAAGTGGCAGCCTTCGTGGCCTAACGGATAAGGCGTCGGCCTCCTAAGCCGAAGTTTGCGGGTTCGAATCCCGTCGGAGGTACATGTTCTGCATCTTTTTACCGTTCATCCAAAAGATGAATGAAAAGCAATTTACTTTAAATTTATAGCCTTTTCTATATCTCGCATCGTCAGTGAATATTTTTTAGCTACCACAACCCAGACACAGCCTTCGTGGCCTAACGGATAAGGCGTCGGCTTTCTAAGCCGAAGATTGCGGGTTCGAATCCCGTCGGAGGTACAAGTTCTGCATCTTTTTATAGTTCGTCCACAGGATGAATGAAAAGCAATTACTTTAAATTTATAGCCTTTTCTATATCTCGCATCGTCAGTAAATATTTTTTAGCTACCACAACCAACACACAGCCTTCGTGGCCTAACGGATAAGGCATCGGCTTTCTAAGCCGAAGATTGCGGGTTCGAATCCCGTCGGAGGTACAAGTTCTGCATCTTTTTATAGTTCGTCCACAGGATGAATGAAAAGCAATTACTTTAAATTTATAGCCTTTTCTATATCTCGCAACGTCAGTGAAGATTTTTTAGCTACCACAACCCACACACAGCCTTCGTGGCCTAACGGATAAGGCGTCGGCTTTCTAAGCCGAAGATTGCGGGTTCGAATCCTTTCTGAGGTACATGTTCTGCATCTTTTTACCGCTACTTTAATTGATGAATGAAAAGCAATTATTTTAAATTTAAAGCGTTTTCTATATCTCGCATCGCCAGTGAAGATTTTTTAGCTACCACAACCAAGAGGCAGCCTTCTTGGCCTAACGGATAAGGCGTCGGCCTCCTAAGCCGAAGATTTCGGGTTCGAATCCCGTCGGAGGTACATGATCTGCATCTTTTTACCGTTTATCCAAAGAATGAATGAAAAGCAATTTACTTTAAATTTATAGCCTTTTCTATATCTCGCATCGTCAGGGAATATTTTTTAGCTACCACGACCCAGACACAGCCTTCGTGGCCTAACGGATAAGGCGTCGGCTTTCTAAGCCGAAGATTGCGGGTTCGAATCCCGTCGGAGGTACAAGTTCTGCATCTTTTTATAGTTCGTCCACAGGATGAATGAAAAGCAATTACTTTAAATTTATAGCCTTTTCTATATCTCGCATCGTCAGCATATATTTTTTAGCTACCACAACCAACACACAGCGTTCGTGGCCTAACGGATAAGGCATCGGCTTTCTAAGCCGAAGATTGCGGGTTCGAATGCCGTCGGAGGTACAAGTTCTGCATCTTTTTACTGTTCCTTTAAATGATGAATGAAAAGCAATTATTTTAAATATAAAGCGTTTTCTATATCTCGCATCGCCAGTGAAGATTTTTTAGCTACCACAACCAAGAGGCAGCCTTCGTGGCCTAGCGGATAAGGCGTCGGCCTCCTAAGCCGAAAATTGCGGGTTCGAATTCCGTGGGAGGTACAAGTTCTGCATTTTTTTATAGTTCGTCCAAAGGATGAATGAAAAGCAATTACTTTAAATTTATAGCCTTTTCTATATCTCGCATCGTTAGTGAAGATTTTTTAGCTACCACTCCCCAGACACAGCCTTCGTGGCCTAACAGATAAGGCGTCGGCTTTCTAAGCCGAAGATTGCGGTAAACGTAATGCATCTTTTTACCGCTCCTTCAACTGAGGGATGAAAAGAAATTATTTTAGATGAAGCTTTTTCTATTTTGAATCCCGTCGGAGGTACATGTTCTGCATCTTTTTACCGTTTGTTTAACTGATGGATGAAAAGCAATTACTTAACATTTAAAGCTTTTTCAGATGTCTCAGATTTTAGGGTGTGTCAAAAAAACCGAAAACTATTGAAATCACCCATAACAATGTAATTTTTAGAGTTTGAATGCCTAAACACTCTTCTGGGATAATATCACAATAAACACTCGTTGTTCCGCGGTCAGCTGTATCATTTTCTTTCGAAGCAATAACAAGGCTAATTTAAATTTCATCATATTCACAATTTCAAATATTTCGTATTTAGCATTTTATAAGTTGCATTAAATCCCCACAGGCTGAAATTCGCGAACTTGATTTCAATAGTTTTCGTTTTTTTAGACACGCTATATATCTTGCATCTCCATTAAAGATTCTATAGCTACCACAACCCAGAGGCAGACTTCGTGGCCTAACGGATAAGGCGTAGCAACCGATATGCACGAAGACCGCAATGCCTCTGTGTGGTCTTTTTCTGGTATGGATAAAAATTCACATGACTGTTCTAAATTAATACACAGACTTAGCAGTTAGCATGAGAATTTGAACGTGGATAAGGACAATGGCGAACAATTGGCGTGACGCGCTATTGCGCCTATATTTATGGACTTGTCACGCTAGTTACTCGCCATTTTCACGTTGTTCGAGTTCTTTGATGTTCCTGTCCTTATTCTAAATCTGCCCAATTTGAACTGTCGCTAAATTTTTCTCGTGTTGGGAGGCCTTCCGAAGATTACATTTGCATTGCTTGGAAACGAAGTTTTACTAACCATTTTAAAAGATTAGTTCAATCCTGTATGGCCGGTGTTGTATTGCGTTATTATCCTACTTCTTGAAACATTTTTTAATGAAAATTTTCAAAATTGAACAAGCATCGTAATTAAAGTCTTTTTCGAATACCAGTGTGTCGTAGTTTACCTGCTGGCCATTTTGATGATTCCCGATTTTTAGAGCCAATGAATAATCTGTTATGGGTTTGATCAGACTTTGCTTTAGCGATAGATGACGAGAACGATAAAGCTCCACCTCCTGAGAGGCCCTGGGGAAAATCAATTATACTTGTTTGGGTTCAGGTGTATCGGTGTGTGGATATATACTGATTTGGAAAGGATTGCAGAATTAATGGCTTGGAGTAACGCCTGTTAGCGATATGACAAGTTGTCTTAAGTTGTCAATACGTCATTATACCTGTGCACCAACAGAAGGACTCTTTGGTATCCCCTTTCGAAGCGTTGGCTGAGCAATGGGATGAAAACTGGAATGAGGACTTGTGCTTGGTAATTTAATTGCTTGTGCTGTTAACGAAAATGCGTTTTCATCACCGGTAACTGGTCTTCTTGATAATGAATTTCTGTGTGTTCGCATAGCGCCATATCTGTTAAGATGCATGCGCTTCATTTAATTGTTTTGGAAAGCTTCACATTCATTGTTTAAATATTATTAAATGATTAAGGCATTCAAAATTAATTTAATTTATATTTATTCTTACCTAAAATTTTCCTGTCCCAATACATTTCCAAGGGCACTCATTTTGCTGCCTAAGATTCTCTCCATAACAGTCTTACGCGCATTGAAGTTTCGAAACGGATGAGAACGGTTTACGCTTCGTCGTTTTGCTGCGTAATTCGCCAAAAAATCTCTTTGTTTTTGTTCACTTCCTTGCCGAGACCTTCTCATTGCGTCTGGCTTCCTTCCGTATACGGAGGGAGTCTCTTGTTCAACTGGCTTTGCTGGACTTTCCGAGGGTATTTCTGGCAAAGATATCTACAACACATATACGCTGATTCAGTATAAAACTATATAAACAGCAGTTAAATAATAAATACAAAAGTGGCCACGATAAAAATTCAACCGTAATATGAAGTTGCATGTACTGTAATTTAATCACAAAACGGCTAGCGAAACAATAGAGCAGTTAGCCATTTCAGAGTTGGGCTGATCTTGGGGCTGTTTTGGGTCCAATTATTTAAGCGTTGCATGTAGACAACTCTAATTATAAGCAGGGCGGTTATCTTGTCAGTTGTAAGATATATAACCGCCCCGTCATAAGCTAACCTCTTTATTTTTCTTGTCAGGATCATCTTTCGGTTCATCTTCGAAAATAAGCGGCCTAAAAATAAGATGTAGATAAGTTCCAATATAACCAGGGAGCAGCGTGGCAACGTCTTCAAACAACTTAGCATCAAATGTGGTATAACAACTGCCTAAATTAGACAAAACACTTCTCGACGTTTCGACCTGCGGGCCTTCGTCAGGAGAGTAACTAACTCTTTTGTTTTGTCTAATTTAGGCGTTGTTATACCACATTTGATGCTAAAAATAAGATGGATTAAGACGTTATTGAAACATAGGCAGTTCACATATAGCATAACTGTAACGCACATGTTTGCCTACTTGTAGCATACCTGTTTTCCGGCGAATTCACTGGTGGAAGTATCTATAGAAAGGAGTAAAAATTTCAGCAATCATGCATACGCCGATTGAATAATATACTTTATAGCTAAATACGTACAGCTGGTGACTGGATTCCTCTGATCCTCTCCAATTCATCCTCCTCATCGGGTTTTTTAAAATATTGTTGGTTAGGAATTGGATGGGACTGAAAAAAATAGGTACATCTTCGTGTTATGAGATAACGCTTTTTCTCATAACGCTTTTTAACATTTTAAATACTTAGTTTTTGGGTTTTTTCACGGACAGAAACTTGCTCATGCAGTAATGGGCTAAGAAATAAATGTTGAAGCACCTGATAAGACCAACGTTTTAGGTGCGCGCATAATTTGAACACGCGGTGGCACCATGACACTGCCCATACTCATTATCATACACATTACATAAAATACTTTTAATTATAACATGTAGTCTTACTTGTCTACGAGTCTTCGAAAATACATCACATGTGGCCTTCAATACTAAAATTTGAATTTATATGCACCAAGTTAAAAAATAGTTTTAATAATTTAATTCATTTCAACTGTATTATGCAGTCACTACATCTTACATCTTCGGCCTGTGGTCAGTAGAAAGTGGGTGGGAATAATTAACAGTCATTTCGAGTGGTGGTCTGGTGGAATAATTAAAAATTATATCACGAGCCGACAAGCTGCTTAGCAGCACCGAGTCTGCTTTCAGCCATATATGACGAGAGAGAGTGGCATAATTGTTTTATAATTGTGAATAAATAATTATGCAATAAAAATTGCATAAAAAATTTAACTAAACCGGCTATTGATAAATTATAATTTCAGTCAATCCTTCGCTGAGTGTTTACATGTTAAATTACATTTAAAAGACCGTTTTCATGAACAAAAAGCTCCTTTTGTTTGTTGTACTTACCCCTAAATATTTTTATCTCGTATTTTGTTCATTTTTTTAATCTCTAGGAACTGCACTTTTAAAAATTGTGTTTTAATTTCTTCTTTATCACCTGAGCAAAACTGTCGGCCATTTTGTTTTTGTTACAGTGAGTATCTCAACCAATCAGATTGCAGAATAGCTCAAACGCTATATTATAATGTTGGCAAACATTACATATTTGCGAATCTTATTCAGGCTACGCATGGACGAATTTTACACCGTACTTTATATTTTTTACGGTTCAGTTCTTCACAATGTGAAAACGGACAAAAAATTGACATCTGCTTTTGGATGTTGACACGAAGCAATTGGATATTATCTTGGGGAGGGCAATGCCGCAACAGGTGTGGGCCTGGTAATAAGTGGGACAGAACAGTAAGACAACACTGCTGTACGGAATATATAGTACTGAATCAAAAATAAAAAATTTTGCTGTTTCTTTTAGGGGAGACGGGGACACACTCTGCGGGAGGTCAAGACAATTTATTCTTTTACCAGAGGAGGGTCGACGAATTTTTCATCACAATATAAACCCTTCACCCCCCTCCTAATTTCTGACAGGTCCCTAACCATTGATAATCTACACAAACGCTATCAATCTTGACACAAAATGAGTATACACGTCTACCTTCCATTGCCATTTCTGCCACGATGTTTACTTGATCCTCCATTGTAAGACGTTCGTCTGCTTTCACATCATCACCACGTCCCTTAAGATGCATCAAACCCAAACTAAGAAATGCCTTTCTTAAACTGTCTCTACGAAAATCGCTCATTAATGTGCCAACTTCGATTTCCGATTCATCTTCGTCATAGTCCGAAGTTCTTCTACCAAATCTACTGCCGGCGTTTTGCCTCGTGTTGTATATGTTTGTCAAGCTTGCTCGGTCTTCTTCACTTAAGCCAATGAAGGGATGCATTGACGGACGAAACCTTCCTCTACTCATCTTTCTATACCTTAAATGGTTTTCATCAAAACCTCTTTCAGGCGTACTAGGATCACTTGTTCTATAACCATCGCCTCGACCGCGGCTGAGAGCCCTGATAAATTCATCTTGTTGGCCATCATAATATCTGAAAAGTAAGAAATAAAGATGGCCTCCAAATTCGGTACGTACTTCAAGACGTACCTTAATACGTGCATGTACATGTCATTTCACACGAACTCGCAGGGCATTCATTTCTTTAAACTGGACTGAATATCACGACATGGCATGCGGATGGCAATAATGTCGTCCACCATTTAGACAGCAGATATGAATCACCAAATGTGAACCAGGCATAACTACATGCTCGGTCCACGTAAAAAAACATTACCCCATGTAAAAAAACATTACCCGTCATTTCGCTGGTATGTTTGTCCTCCATCTAAATATTTGCTCTCCCCTGATAGTCCAGCATTGTCCAAACCCGTCGCAGAAGCTAATTTTTCTATAACACCTGCGTGGCCAAAAACACTTCGTCGACGAAGTCCAAATGGTTTGCTGTATCGTGCGTTGACTTCATCTTCTCCACTGAATGTTAAACTCTGTCTTCTTACTTTCCCCTTCATGTCATCTTTAGGATGACTTGGAGGGTGCGAGTCGGAATGTTTAGGTGGGGTTTGTTTGAGCCCTCCTGTTGTTTGTTTCTCGGATTTTCCAACTTGCTCTCCTACAAAAAGGAAAATGTCTCACGGGACGTACTCACAAACAAGTTAAGAATTAGTCGCCACAAAGTGCTTTACACCATAAATTGTATGCGCATCTTCTTTTCCCGCCTCTCTTTACAGTAAGTGTAAAGTATGAAGAACGCAATAGGTACTTTTAAATCGCGATAAAACAATATTCAAAATATTCGTGGTTTTAGATAGGTAAAACAAAATCTTCCAAGCATTAATATGAACTTTTCTAGTAAACAAATCTGTTTCTGTACAAGCAATACATCCATCAGCAAGTGCTTCACTTGTGATTACCCTGCATTGCATGTATTACCTGAATGTTGTACGTCGTGATGCGACTTCTTGCTTTTCTCCAATCTCGGTGCAGTTTGTTTCGGAATGTCGCTTTTTGCAGGAGTATCATGTGATGAATATTTGCTTGTCTTAGGTCGCTTCTGAGCAGGCAATCCGGTCTTTTGATCATCCGTATCCGGTTCCTCAATAATATTCATGTATTGAGGAGTGTGGATGCTTCTGGCACGGCTGTACCGTCCAAAGGTATCTTGGATGGGAGCAGCGACATCCGGCATGAGGCTCCCTCTTTTTTCATAGTTGTTCTCCACCAAACGCATAAAAATACTCTTCCTTTTCTTTGATGCGTACTAAATTGAAGTATAAGTCGTTTTAAGACCAGGGTCAGGGACTTTTTTAAAAAATCATTAGTGGGAGGCATTATATAGCAACAAATATACATATACGATGGTACTATTACTCATAATCCTCGCCACCTTCGAATTCCTTTCCACGTTCTATGTTCATTCAATACTATTTCGCCTATTCAACACTGTGTCGCGACACCATTACATACTTCACCATTTTACACGGTGATATTACTAACCTGGGGAATTTCCCCTTCAGTAATACGAAAATCATGGCGGTTATCTCCTGCGACTGCGCCCTTCATTTTCTCTCCTGTTATTTTAGAGGATAGCACTCGCTCCAGTTGTCCTAGAGAGAGAGCGAGGGAGAGATGGAAAAAAAGGGACTGCATCTAAAACCTCTCATCTCAATTAAAGACTGAGTCTTACTTAATTGAACGACATTTAAGTGATACTTTATAGAAAATTTTCGTCAAAAACTCAAAGTGCATGTGTGATATGTAAAATTCTTAGATATTTACAATTAGTAGATTATTCTACATTAAAACGAATCTACCTCCTGCCTTAGTCTCGTCGAGCATTTCCTCAATATTTTTGCAGAGCTTTTGCAACTAAAAAGAAATAAAAGCGCAGTAAAAGTGACAGTGAAAATAGGATTTATGTATTTGATATAAAGATTCAATTAACTAAGCAAATAAGAATTGACAATTGTGACGCTTATACAAATAAAACAATGGTATTTTAAAAAGCTTGCTTCATAGTGTAAATTAGACTTAAGCATATTGTTTGAATGAAATTCGCATGAGAACGCAAACTCTAGACGGCCCGGTGTATTTTTGGAAATTACTTTACTAAACGTACTCGTCCTCTCCATCCAGTGTCATCCAATTCTATTTTCCCATCAGTTAAAGAAGCTATTTCTTCTCTCAAGTCATCCATACGTTCCCTTGCATCCGCTATGCTGCCAGGTATCGAGCCTGCAACATCCCGAGCTAGCGGACTACGACCAAAAACAGAACTAGTGCCTCCGGCATGGATAGTTTGAACTGCCTGAAGAAAATGTTTAAAGGTATACAAAGCAAGTTGTAGAAAAGTCGAACAACAGCTACATATACGAAAATCGAGAAGTTGTTGCAAAAAATTCTTCAAATGTTTTCTTCCTGGCCAAGTTGTTGAAAGTTAAAACATGCAGTTGGGGAGAAAAAAAATTACTTTCGGGGAAGCAAAAATGTTTTCCACTAGATTTAGAAACATTTCACGTTTCCTAGATGTATGCATGCATGTGATTTGTCATTTGTGATACGGCATGTGTTTGTCATTTGTGATACGGAATCACTGTTTCCTGTTCTGCATGCATATGGTTATTCGAGGTACAGTTCTCTTAGAGCTGGAAAAAACCCGAGATATACATAATTTATCCTGAGGCTGAGTGGCAATGTTTCTTACACAAATGTTTCCGATGTATTTGCCAAATTTGTTAAACAATATTTCCGCAGAAATATTTCCTAGTTTGCCCAAAGCTTTACTGTAAGTTAACTATTATTCAGACTACCTTGTTTTCCATTTTGATACTTTTCTTTGAGGATATATTCCTACTTTCGGCAAGGTCCCTATCAGTTTCTTCTCTGGTCTCTTGTTGCTCGTGAACGGCAATCTCATCGTCGTTTCTAGCCTCTAACTCAGAGTGAGGTTCACGACGGGCTGTTGGCTTTCTAGAATGATCCTTTCTCGGTGTTGTTTTTTTACTCTTTTCACCCCCCTTTTCTTGTTTTCTTGTCTTGCGCTTCTTGCTACTTCTTTTGACTTCCTGAGGAGTCACCTCTGCTTCATCTACGCTATTTTCTAAAAATGGCGATGGTTCTGTAATGACAAACTCAACTAAACTACTTTCAGATCTTGGTGCTTCCATTTCCTCGTTCAAACTGGAATAAGAAGAGCCATATCGGTCCGATTCGTCCTCATTCGATATTTGGTCGTCACTTGCTCGTGTTTGACTGCTGACATTGACGAAACTGGGTAAGATTACTCCCGATGAAGCCAGGTTTATTCGCATTCTGGCTAGTTCCTTAAATAACAAATTTGATTGGAAATATCATTAAAAACCACAATATCGCGTCACTTCAGCAATTAGCATCAGTATTCAGTAACACAAAATATAAGAATTTAAATAGTTGATCAGCAAAGAAAATAGGAAAAAAAGAATTACAGAGAAAGTTATTATACACACGGTTGAAAATTATAAAAATTGTTAAAAGATGTTCATTACCACCACTGTAGATTCTAGTTTTGATTCACTTTCCCGCAACTTCTGCTCCAAAACTTCCAATTGTTCCTTTTCTGGGGTTAGTGAGTCATTTTCCGAACCAGGTGTACCAGTCAATCTCTGACATTTTGGGCATGGTAATCCTACACCTTCACTAAACATTGACTTCAACTCTGCAAATTCTCTGTCCTGGCGATTAGATAAATATAATAAGATTACTCATCGACAACAATGAATGGTCCAAAAAACATGATAAAGACATGGTGTATGTATGCAAGGTTACACCACATGAATATTACCTTTTGAACTAAAGCCTCTCCCAATTTTGTCACCTCTCCTTGTAATCTTGAATTTTCCTGGAAAAAAATTAAAAGCATTCACCGTAAAGGTCCATGTGGCCATGAACACTATGGTTAAAATACTTTTGCTAATTCACAGATATTCCGTACCCTAGGAATATCTTTAAAAGGTGGAATGAGGATAAATCGATAGATGGATTATTTACAGTTATTAGTTAAATGCAAATGACCTCTTGTAGATCGTTCGATTTTTTTTGAGCATCCTTCATTTTCATCTTTGCAAAATCGTCTTCCAAAGATGATTCTGTTAGGGTGAATCGTCTTCTCATTACTGTTGGTAACTAGTAGTTAAAATCATAAGGAAAGAATGAAAACAAAAAACATGCATAAGCATAAAACATGCAGTATAACCTCACACTCAAATTTTCAGACCACACCTAATCTACGCCGTCGCTATGGTGCATTATATACTATGGTATTCAACTGAGAAAGCTGATTCGAAGCATCTGAGACATTTGAGTGCACGAGGCATGATCACTGAACTATAATATAGAGATCATTGGGCATAATAGACTTGCCGATTAAGATAGCTTGACGTCATTATATGGTGACTGTTAATATAATTACCACTAAATTTGCCGATAATAATTTACATTACCTCATCCTGTAAATCATCTTCATCCACGTCTTCAAGAGAAAATTTAATTTCGCCTGGAGCGTTCTTCATTTTCTTGACGATGTCTTGGATATACTGCACCATCGTGCATGAAAATGATTTTTAGCCCCTGCTCTCAAAGTACACTATAAAGCACACGATACTGTCCACTTGTCAACTATATAAACATATTTAGATACCTGTTTGCAGTTTGTAACTTCGTCTTGCTTAGCCTTGAGTCTGTCTTCCAAAGTTCGTATCTGAAGCTGCAACCTATCGCGATTCTTCTTCATTCTAAGAGTTGCCTGTGGCAGTGAAAAGATTATATTATGAATATGTCCAAAGTGTCGTAGCTAGACCGCTTAATGTATATTCATATATAGGCATGTTTACACACGTAGGAACTTCTATACCGATTCTAAATTACGTTTTCATCATTATGTGTTTGTTTCGTGTCATAACGTCCAAATTTATCCAATTCAGGCTGCATGAGTAAATGGAATACGGCTTATACTATACCTCCTTTTCTTTTTGCAACATATCCGTTTTCCTAAAAGCATCCAAATTATGGCAATGAAATATTTTCTCCCATGCATGCAGGAAAAAATGATGTTTTAAGGTACTGTACTATCCCTACTATAATAATAATTTATTAATTCCATTTCTTTATTATTAAGATTATACAATAAACTAGCCCTATATTAATTAATGATTAGACCCCGTATATTTAAAATTGAATTTCGCCGTCAGGAACGGTAAAAGTTAAAACACGTACTTTTGTATCTCTTCGTTTTGTTTGCTCATAATATTACTGATTTTTTGTAACTCGCCGGCCAGGATATCTTTACCTAATTCAAAATAGATTACATAAAGTGAACCCTTGTTATTTAATCATGCATGACAAATACTTCGTGTGTTAGTAGCAGCGGTTTGCATTGAGACAGTTGAATGGCAGATGTCAAACGCCTAATGTTTGCGGAGCCAATCAAACCTCATGTGGCATTAAGCTTTCCACGTAAGTAACTGAACATAACGATATTGGTCATGAATTTTCAAAGGAAATTTTATAACTCAAATTTACCGGTGGTAGTAATAACTGTTGTAATACTTTGCGGCACTTCCAGTACAAGTTAGACTAAGATCGAATGGCAGAAAATGCAATTGTAACAAGTGCATTGCCAAATCAATATAACTATATAACTGGTCCATATGATCACACTCTACCTCCTTCTCCTTCTTGACGAACTGTCTTCAACAGATCAACTATTTCTTCTGCAGCGTACTTCCATGTGTCAAGACGCTCCTTGCTGTTCGCCGGTTCCAACTTCTCCGCCACATTCTCAACAGCTTTGGCTGAAACATTCCAAAACATTGCGCACTTATATATAAGTATGAAGATTTCACATCAATGTCTTTCATTTAGACGCGCCTGAAAAACTCGTTTACAGATATTGGTTAATAAGAAGAGATAGGGAAAGGGAAAGTAATTTTCCTCCTGCAACCTTATCAAGTCGAGGATCAACTAAGGTCCCTGCAAAGATATGTTACGTGCATGTACGTAACGATTCATCAGACTAGTCCCTAGTCTTCCTTAGCGCGCCTTGCATTCTTGTGACGTCACACGCGCTTACAAGGCCTGGGACTAGGCTGACGATTCATAGCCATGCAGCGCAAAGATTGATCACTACAATGTGGACCTTTTTCTTTTTGTTTTTCCTTCTTCGATCTCTTTTTATCCCTGCATGAAATTGAGAATAATATTGATTTAACATTGTTATATATAAAAGAGAAATATTTAATATTGCATCAATTGTAACGACTTTGAGACCAAGACCTAATTATTTATGTGTATGGCCTGTTGATATTTTATATTCATTGTGTTGAAGTTCATATAACTGAATAATATAATATATATGCATTGATTAATTCTTTTCATCGCTCTCTCTAACATCATCACTTCATCACTCCCTACGTCTGACATTATTGTAATAAACATTATCATGACCAGCATTCACTCTTGGACAACTGATGTCAAAAATTTTCAACATAAATCAGCACGTACCCTTTCGACTCACGCTTCTTCAGCATGCACACTTTGGCATCCATATCCTTGAATTTTTCCGAAAACCATCTTAATGTTTTGGTATAATCTCTAAAATATAATTATGTTCATCTAGATATACGAAAGTCCCAAATACGGAACGAGTGTTGCTAAGAGGTGTTCTTTTTTTGCTTTAGATACAAATGTGACTGAAAATGTGCAATTTTACGGCTATATATACATTACGTCTCATTACGTCTCCTCAAGTGGCTAAGTTACATATTATATACTTGAAAGCTGACTAGTTGTAGCTATGTAAGCCTAAGGACCTGTTTACAAGGAGCGAGTTATCCTGGCTAGGCGAGGTGATGAATCTTTGATGTGATGCATGCGCTTTTTACCTCGCCTAGCCGGGATAACTCGCTCCATGTAAACAGACCCTGGCTAAGTCCAATTCCTCAACTTCTACTCGTTAATGACAAGGAATTAATGATATAATTATCAAGTTACCGAAGGCAAAGGTCGGATGTGTAAAAATCAAATTCATCATCATCGTCAAAATATGCTGGTATCTGAAAAGGGAAAAAACGAACAGTGATGGTTTTAAATGGTATGAAATAAAACAAAGGAGGTGCCTATAAATTAAAAGGTGAACGAATTTACCTCTAGCTAATTATTTGATGTTTCTATACTAGTTATTTCAGTGATGTTTCTACTGAATGCTGAGGTGCTCGCCAAATAGATGGCAAGTCATTGGTCATTATGTCGGCTTTTAATTTTATTCAGTGGTTCCGCACCTCTCTCTTGGAACGTATACGTCGAATGAGAGACTTTACCTCTTTCATGCAGTTCTTTTGTGCATCCATACTCTAAAATTAAATAATAAATGGCAGGAAATCACTGTCAACCTAGTATGAAAATGGATGAATAGCTATAACCATTAAAATGCAATTATAATTTCGAGGGATGTTAACTTGTAAAGAGTGTTCGAAATGCTAAGAAAACGTAGCAGATCATAACGACGTAAGAAATATTCGTATTTGTCAACAGTTAGATGCCTTAAGAGTAGAAGCAAGAAATGTTACACAGTGTAACGCCTCCTTTATGCCATATAATATACTGATAATATACAGTCTTAGACACCAAGACTCGCATGCATGTCTTTGAAGAGAACATTTTCGTTTAAAGTGAGTTTGGTACAGTAAATTAAGCTAGCCATGCAATTGAATAAGGGAAGACGTTATTGATGAAATGAGAATTATCCAATTAAATCTTTATTGAATATTTATGTGGCGTAAGAAGTAAGATTTACCTTACCTCTTGCAGTGCGTGTAAAAGCTGAAAAACAGAAAATTAATAAGAAATTATGATACGAGTTAAGGCGGGAAAGGTTCAGTGAAAGGGTTAGTATACTGTATATTTCTACTCCTACCCTAAAGTTTCACAATGAAGTATACCAAAGACTTTAGTTTCGACACATATGCGTGGTGTCATATATGTAAATACCTCTTCTCTCTCCGCACACACAAATTTATAGTCTGACAGTATTCGTAGAATATTGTGCTTCAACTAAAAATAGAATGGATTCATAACCATTCATTATTCAGACTGCAATAAGGTAATCTTATTCCCGTTTGAAAGTCAACTGCATAAAACGTGGTTTCCATGTGAAGGCGGACCTGTCGCTGACTCATTGTCTTGTAATCATTTATGGAGGTTAACGATTTCAGAAAGACAAAAGATTTTACTCATCAATAACATAACTTGCCGATGTCAGCGTTTAGTAAAATCCTCGTAGTCACCCCATACAACTGATTACCATAATCTTTTGTTGAAACGCGCGTTGTTATACCTCTGGGAATTGGCGTCTAAGCAAATTACAGCTACATGCACAAAAATGCCGAATTACTAATCTCGTAACTAATCGAGCTAGGTTGTCTTAGATAGTTAAACAATGGTTTTAACAATAAAAGAAGATAATTTGTAAAAGCCCGCCGCACACGAGAGCTATTAGCTGAGCTAAAGATCTCGGACCTATCTTGATAATTCAAATAAGCCATATTGCATCATGTATCATGAATTAACTGAACGAACAAGTTCAGTAGCGTTTTGTCGAGACGACAGTAGACATGTAGATGAGACATGTAGAAAGTCTTCTCCACTCCACAGCATTAAAAAGTGAATGCGCGACGTCTACCATTTCTTTTATATAAAACATCCCGAACATAATAAAACAGAACAGATTTATCTTTTATAAGAGTTGGACTGAGACTTGGAGTCCTTCATCTCGTTGCTTCCAACTGACGTACCTTACTCCCAGGCATAACGGATACCTGCTCCTGTAGTTCATCAATATAATCCTGATGTAAAAGACATAAGAACATACTCGATTATGACTCAGAAGCCTCTTTTCAAACTACGTGTTGGGTGGCCTATAGCGGCAGGTAGACGTCCTTGTGTATATACATATTACAAAGATAAGGTTAAGATATAACCACCCTCTGCCCGTCATGAATATTATTAAATTTACAAGCCGTTAATTCCCCAGCACTACACTGCATTCTCTACATCACAGATTATGGGGATAGCACCATGCTGTGTTCGCCGAAAATGCCTGAAATAGTGTTTGGTGAAGGAGCAGTGATCTCCATTATGGACGTATTTTTCACTTGCGGTGATATTAAGTTCTGACCATTACTCACTTTATAAATGTGAGCTGATTCTTCCAGCATTGCGTCATAGTCATCCACAATCTGGGAAATGAAATACAAACATGGAATAGCTTCATCATGTTCCCATTCAACACGAAAGTGCATGGTTACGACAGGACGTGAAGCAACTCACAAAAGAAGCTAGAAATTTCATATTTACTCAAAGCACATCATTCCGAAATGCTTTCTTTACAAAAAGCCCACAACAGCTCAAAAACGAAGGAAACACGGTATCGGTTGGACTCAGTTGCACTCTAAATCTCAACAGAATTCAGTGGAGAAGTATGCCCGAAACTAAGTGCTCCATCTCCCAAAAATGAACCCACTACCCATTACCTTGGAAATTCTGTCCCGTACTTCTGTTAAAGCCTCTGCGAAACGCTCTCTTTCGCGATCCATTCCTCTTGCTTTTAGCATCAACATGGTATCATCAATGGCAGGATCAAATTCATCATCAAACATGGAAAGGACAGGTGATACCATGTTCACTCGCATGCTAAGGCGCCTTGAGTTTCGCCGGCCAGCGCGAAAATTAGCCTTTGTTTTCTTATCGTATTTCCGCGGCATTCTATTTAGCAAGGTACCTAAACTTTCTTCTCTTTTGAACACCGCCGGAATAGAATATATAATTGCGCTAATTGCGCACGAATATGACGTCACGTAATAATTACAGTTCGATTTGGAGTGGGAAAAAATGAATTAGATGGTGTTCCGAGAGACTTTGCATGAGTTTGCTACTTAAGATTTTGAAATCAAAATAGAATTGTTTTCTGTTATGGAAACTACGTTCACGTCTGCCAGTTCAGCCAAATTAAACAAAGTCAATATTAGAACTGAAGATTCATAAATGGACGGGGAAAGAGAAGACAAACTTTCCGTTCTGAAAGATTTTATCATGGGATCAAAACTGAATAACTATTATTTCATGACGTCATGTTTCATTACGAGGGATATAGTAGTATGCAATTATCAAAGTACGCACGAGACTGAAAAGCAAGCTGAGTTTACAGTGACTAATTTTAGGCAATTATATGTTATGCGCCCTGTCCCAGCCAGCCTCTTTTCCAGAGTGCCAAGTCAGTGTAGATATTATTTTGTCACACTAAGATCGCAGGACTGCGTTTATTCAGACACAGAAACCATTATTTGAACACTGTAATCAATGTTGTATATTTATTCAAGTGAAACAGAGACTACACTACACCCTTGATGGATACAGCATCTGAAGATAGAAAAAAAGAATAATTAGAAAACTTTTTCAACAATATGACAAACAAAACAGGTTTCTTATTGACAACATTGTGAAATTGGTATTTAAATGTTTTATTACTTACAACTCTAACAGTTGCACCAAAGCATTTTGGTGGAAGATTGTGCCTGAATTTGGCTCTTACAACGCCACTGTTGCCATGTGGTCTGGTGACTTTCCCCCAGATACAACGGATTTTGCTTGCTGGTTTCTTTCCTTTGGCTTCTCTCTTTTTGTGGGCTCTGTATACATATGCAACCCGTTTACCAAGGTAGAAGTCTGTATCCTTTTTATCATTCACACCTTCTATTTTCAGCAAGGATGTGTTGGGATCTTGACTTCTCAAGCTTCGCTTATAACCCAATACAATACCCTTTGTGTATAACCTGTATGAAGTGATATTTGTAATGTAAGACGTATCATATTTGTAGTTTCCAATTGTTAACATTTTACTAAACTTGGCATAATAAACAAGTGTAACAAGATAAGTTTACCTCACAGGTTGAGACATAATTTTGAATTGATCAACCAAAAGCTATAGGAAAGGAATACCATGTCAAATTAATTGAAAATCACTGACAATTTTATCTTTGACCAGCATGGAGAAAATTATTTAAAGTGCAGTATTTACAAAATACTTGGCAGCATTTGGTATGGTTTCTTTACTTTCTCAGGCTAAACATCCATTCACTGATGTACTTCACTGGTAGAATTTTTGATCACAAGTACCAAATATTGGAAGAAAACAGCCTTTAATGAGGCGTGTTGCTATTGGAGTAGCACTGAATTGGAATAGCAATTGATAATGTTGGAATTACACTATTAGTGCCCCGACTTTCACTGGGAGACTGGACGGTTTAACATTCTAACTGCTCGACGACTATCAAACAAATTGTGTCTTCATAGGACATAACCTAACGAGTCAGTGTTATTATTTTTTCAATACGACTACAGTAGTATAAATATACATTTACTAGTTAAAATGTTGAACGTTCGAAAGTGTTTGTCAAACAGCAATTGTGTCAGTGTACATTAAATAGGCCAAAACGTCCTATTTTAGGGGGTTTAAAAAAGCAAAGCATTGCGAATCGCAAGATTAATGAAGAAGCTTTACGAATAAACACATATAATTAAAGGATGGGAAAAATAAACGAAGAATCCAGATGGATTGATACTACAAAACTTTACACTACCTTCCAAAAACCTAAGCAAAACGAAAAGAAAAGACAAGCATCTGAGCCTGCACTTGACAACAAAGGCACATCAGCGGTTGTAGACCTACCAAAATCCCTCGTTAGCCATGGTAACACTGTGCAGTGTGCATAGCAACAACGAATAAACATGGCGGTCAAACATGACCGTGAAGAAGTCAATGGCTGTTCTTTTGCTGTATTTTCCTCACAATTTGGCGTTTAATACAGAATTCTGAAATATATCGAGGATCCGAGTTTCGCGATGTCATTTTCATCAAACCAAAGCTCCAGATCTCTGGTGAATAACTATGAACTGGCTCTACTTGAAGCAAATCATTTGAGACAGGTTCCTACCAGTTCCAAACTATACAAATGTTTTGAGATGTTTGACGAGGTTATTCCAATGTTGGGGCAATATAAAAGGGTTATGAAAATAATGCGGGATCAATTGTACGACGCTGTATTTAGCCGGCAATATACAGTAGATATTGAGAATGAAACTCTTGGTCCTTCCTCAAATAAAGGGACCACGTCGGTTGCTATTAAGAACACTTCTATTGAACGTGTTCCGTATTTTGAAATTTCGAATAAACTCTTAGATGAAAGAAACCACCGTGCTGAAATAGCTGAAGAACAAGTTGACCAACTGAAAAACATTGTTCAAGAATTAAATGACGAAATTGCTGCCTTTAAAAAGAACATCTCTGACCTAGAATCGGCTGTTGCAAAACAAGAAGACGAGATTCAAAACCTGCGAACTAATCTAGTTGCTGAAGAGCAGGAGAACCAAAAACTTGATATCGAACTACGCTATCAACGGGAGAAAATGAATAGGAGAGAAAAAGATTTTGAAAACTCCGTTCAAGATCTCAACGAACAGCTTGTGCAGGAGAGCGGTAAAGTTCACGAGTTGAGTCGCTTTAAGACATGCCATGATAATGTCCAGAGTGAATTTCGTGATCCAACTGCATTTTTACCTCTACCGCAGAGAGGATTGTTTTCAATGAAAGAGCAGAAACTACGTAAGGATATCGCAGAAGGAACAACGTTAGAAAACCAGCTGTTGTTTCTCAGAAATACATGCATTGACAATTACGACGATTTTTTGGAGGAACACCATATTGAACAGAACAGCAATAGCTCAAAAAGAATAAGTAAATCTAGTTTTAACAAACAACCAGCAAACAACAATATGTCGACAGATGAAGAACGTAAGAGACGCGAAACCGCTTTTGTAAACATGATCGATGATATTGAAAACGAGCTTGCTCAGAATGTACAGCACCTCTCGATTTTAAAAAACGATTTAGATAAGATTAACGAGGTAAAAAGACAATCAAAGCATTTTGAGAACATGCTAGATGATGAGAAGTCCATGGACGATGATTTGGCGTTGCTTGGAATTATAAAAGACGCGAGCATGAATTATAAATTTGTTCCACAAGAATCAATCTTAAGCAAGTATGCTATTGTTGTGCTGTATTCATGCAATCAAGGCAAGACATTCCAAGAGCTACCTGGTGTCAAACCCTGTAAAAGTTGTGCAACCAAAACGCTCGTATGTCCACATAGGGTAACAAATGAGGAGAAGGTGTTTCACCTACCGTTACAGTGTACACATATCAAATTCACAAGACCAGAGCTACAAGTTTCACATCCCTCAAAATCTGACTTTCCAGTTTCGAATTTGTCAAAACAAGGACAATCTAACAAAGTTTATCCTAAAATTTGGAATGATTTAGCACTACGCGAAGGCAGCAACCTTAAACGAACCCCAAGAGTTTTGAAAACAGACTTTTTACTTTCTCTTATTGAGCAGTTTTATGCGAGTGTCGTCCTAGATGATGGTAACGGAGATGAAGTACTCTTGCCCGTGTTACAGACATGGTACGATTTCCTGAATAACCGTTATCAATCAAAACGCGTTGCTGTTGTTGTCGCCAGGGACGTGGTGGAGACAATTCAAAGCAGTGTGCCGCTTCAGCCATTTGTTCAAATGTTTGCAGAATGCTTGTGTGGTAACCTTGATCCCGCTACTTTTCGATACTTCTTATTGCTGCGTCGGTTAATACAGATTGTTCAATGGACATCTTTTGAAGATTTTAGAGCATTCGCTTCGATTGTGTATCAGTTTATGGACGTAGATGATTTGGAGCAGTTTACCATGAGCTACCGAGCGTTCAGCGAAAACACGATTGATGAAACACTCGTACGAGAGTTCTTTTTATCCCTGATTTTAAAGTTACGCGAGCCGGCGTTTCATGAAATGGAAAACCAACTTTTGAGTCGCCCGGAGGTTAGTCATGGAGTTATGACGGACATCGCTTTCATTGAATCCATTGCCGAAATATCTCCATTGAGTTCCCAACGACTGTGCCAACGCCTCTATGGTCAATCGAAAGCAGACACCGAAGGCAATCATGTTTCCATAACACGTCTCTCCCAAATCGCCTGTTATATCGTTCTTCATCAGCAAGCGGCAGTGATGGAAATGGAAATTAGAACTAAACTTCAAATAAAGAAAATTTAGCATTTGGGATAGATTATATACGGCACGAGTATACAACTTCGCGTGTCATCAATATACGTTGTAAGGTAACTTTTACGTAAAGTCCGTGAGCTAATACATGCTTGACAAATTTTTACCTTATGAGAATTATGGCTACTACAGCACAAAATGTTGTCTTTAAGTGCATGCAATAACACCGTTTGGAATGTTTTTCAAAAGGGGCATGTTTTGTATGCACGCATGCGTGCATTCATATAGCCCGAGCTAGCCCAGTTAAACCTGTGGTTAAACGAGTCGACTCGTTTGTTTAGGACCATAACTGTAAGATATAAGTAATGGATATAAAGTAACTTGTAAAAGTTTAGTTTGGAAGCTGAATCATATCAAAGTCTAAGGAATTAGAACTCCAAATTTTAGTTTGTAAATTCAAATGTACACTGATATATACAATACAAATTATACTTTACACTATATTTACACATTCATTCTATAGTCTTACTTTTATGCACAAATATAAATAGGTTTCCATTTGCTTCAGGTGTGAATAGTCAACATTGAATACGAAGAATTGTTTCTTCGGCTATAGGCGAGATCCAATTTAATCCATGAATTTAAACCACTGCCATATCAAGCCTTTGTGATGTTCTGTAAATCTTTAAGCACTATCGAGCGATAACGTCTTTCCAGGTCTATCATGAACTCCACATACTCTGATATTTCAAAATTAAGGATAGGGCTTTCCTAAAAATAACAACCAGAATGACAATCATTTTACAGTCTTTCCCGCATGCATGCAGTTTTCCCGCATGTTGTTTTTCCATAAATTTTTAATTCCACGCGTCATGGTATTACAATTCGTGATTTGGCGAATGAATTGTCAGAAGTTGAGAAATAAACTGATCGAACGACTATAAATTTCTAAATTTTAGCGGTTCCAGTAATTGCAGAACTTTGAATAAAGAACAGTGGCCTTCTCATGATCTTAGATTATTGAATGATTATAACTGTGTGCCATGGAGGATCAAAAATTATATTTCCTTGATCTTTAAGTGTTTCCATAAATCGTTTACCATTGGTTAGTAAAAGCTAGGGGGGAGTGAGAAGACGTCTGTCTACTCAGGCCATTGGTACGTACATACCTTTAGAAACAGAGCCAAACTCTGACGTTGTGTTTCGAGAAGAATATCTCTTTGCAAATGATGAAAAATGGCAACACACAAGTAAACCTAAAGACAGATATATGTGCAATGTAGGATGTATAACATTTAAAACGTTACATACGAAAATCCACTATCTAATGGTTTGTTCACACGATTCAATTTTGTCGGATCCAATCTGGATCCAATTCACTTCTGACGTATGGAATGTAGTTTGTTATTGATTATACATTTTAGTTGACTTGCTGCCCATATACATTGCAAGTAAATAGACTATAAAACATCCACAAGAATGACTGGATCGTGTGACATGATCTTAACAACATAATTGGTAATCATATAACATACTTGGTAATCGATTCCCATTGCCAAACAAATGATGACGTACGAACAAATATCTTCCCAATCCAAATAATTCCAAAAACATTGTGATAACCAGTGTTGGCAGATCTGCACAAACATACATAGGTATATGTAATAATGATGAAATAAAAGCTGCCAACCAAAACATCCGACCATGGGACCATAGTTAAAGGGCCTAACCAGCGATTGTGCATGGGATGTTCTTTTCAATCCTTTCTGCATGCACACTTCATATTTCTATGTACAGGCTTATTACATAACCTGCATTTCCATATGGCATACCTGAGAAGGAGTGTAACCGGAAATTCTAAATGCTGAAAATACCAGTGGAACCTCCGCCTATAGGAGATAACTATATCATTTATACCATAAAATAAAACAAATGACAGTCAATCTAGCGTTATGAACAGGAGAAAATCATGGAGACAAAGATTCATTGACTCAGGTTATGCTGGTTATCGAAACGTCAAATTCAACCTGAACTTCACTTTTACACGTTTTACACTAACTTTGATGATCGATCAGCTTCCAGAAATATTTTATTACAGGTTATGCATTAATACAGACTGAAATGCGCAATTCAAGTCATTTCCTCACCTGCAGCACCAGCTCAATGTTATGGCAAACTGAAGAATATATTGGAGGAATACCACTAACCATTAATGGCGTTGGAAGATGTACCTGAAAAGGATATTATGCAATGCAATGTTTGGATTGGATTTAAAGTTTTCATTCAGGCTAAAGGGTTTCTATTGAACACCTCCTGTAACAGAATGGACATTTAAATTTAAGAAAAATAACTCGCATACCATGCAGGACTATACTGGAGCTCTATATATCATATACTAATTTCAAGGTTATTTAAAAACAAGGAGAAGGACCAAAACTCAATATACATAAAGAGAAATACGTCTAGACCGCATGGTTTCACAAACGATATACTGAATGACACTATTTCGCCGACAATTCTGCACCTTTTACCCACAGAATTATTGATACAGCGTGTTATACATACAGAGGCATGAAGTCTTGGAGTCCAAAGGTAAACTGAAGAAACTAGACAAGAAAATTTGTAGAGGAAATTCCAAGATTTCTCTTCGTCGCCAGACATGATCAAGAAAATGGTTGAAGCGAACCAATCAAAACCAGGATAATAATCGTTTAGAAAGTCTTACAAGCCATTAAGGAAAAGAAACACGAAACAAATCAAAGATGTTCTCATAATATTTTAACTAGAGTACGACATTGCATCAGACGCAATACGAATACATATTTTTCTGAAAGTATAGTGCAGAACTATTTGATAAAGAACTAGCAATTTAAGGTTTTGGTGTGGCAAACGTATCAGTCAAATGGTTGTGCTGGCTTCAAGCAAAATGAGAAAACAAAACCGTTTCATTTACTAAAATTTACTTTATCGTGATGATGATTTGTTCAATATATTGACGGTAAAAAAATAAATTAGTTGAGAGTTGGTAAATAATTTTTCAAAAAAGAAAACAAAGCATTAACATAAAAAGGATACTAATGGAAGATTCAAACGACTTGTGTTGCTGTCCTTGGAGAAAGCATTTAGCTTTTTTTAAAAGAAGAACCAGGTTATTGCTGATTTCCGCATTTGATTGAATCAACTTTAAGTGACTTCCATAACGAATGGCAAGCTTGACACCAAGATGTTGCAGTTCAGACAAATCTACCCCCATCAGGATCGTTTCACTTCCTATACAAAAACATGGTGATCACATTGCCGGAGAACTATAACAACTCGAAAAATAAACCCTAACTCACGTCTGTATACTTTTTACAATGAACCTGCACTAGCTTAGTGATGAAAAATCACGATCCCACAATTTTCACTCCACAACAGCAGCACTTCCCGTTAATTGGGGAAAGCTTTATTTTGAGAACCTCTTGTTCGAAATCTTACTATTGATTGAACATGATCCTATCACTATATACAAAAGTTCATTTATACATCGGTCATACGTAGTGAAGGAATTAAGCCAGCTTTTAGCTAACAGCATTCAACTTCTACGTACTATATAAGTCAGTAGATAAAATATACCTGAAAAATCGATGAGTGGAAATATGGCTTCTTCTGGATTACTGGACTGAACATCGACCAGCTGTTCCAATAAATTACCAAGCACTAAAATATATTAGTTGGAGCTATATTTGTACAGGATAATGCCACGAGGAATCATTGACCTTTACCTACATTTCCAATCTAACGAGATTTACCTTTGTTTTTTAGCCGTCCCTCGGTTGAGGTGAGTACATTAATTATCATGTGACAGCATTTCTCTCTCCATTCTTCACTAAAATATTAAACACATGAACCATGGGCATAAAAAATACCTATAACATGTCAAATTTGCGCGCTCTGATGGATTTGACGTGTTGTGGAATGAATTATGAATGTATGATAAGGTAAAAAGAAAACGCACAAAATCGTTGTTTCAGAGTAATATACCAAATAAAAAAATCATCCTGCAGCTACGATTTTTCTTGCCAATGATACCTACTTGCGAGGAGTTTCACTGCGAAGATGTCGACTGAGATCATCGTCTAGAAAATATAGTACATACGCTAGCTGTTATATTTTTAAGATATAGATAAAACCACAGTGGATTGGATTGGTGGATTCATGCATCCAAGTTCCAAGTCAACTAAGTCTGCAGGCGATAAGTGCAGTTCAATTGTGTCGCCAGGCCTTCAAGTAAGGTTCTTAAAAGTATACGGATTACTGTAACTGCATGCAAGCGTGCACATGTACTTACCTTGAATGCAGAGCTTCGTAAGTGAGTCTGTAAAGATGTAGGGTTTTAATGGAGGAGGGTATGTTGAAAACATTGGTACACAGCTCACTTCGTTAGAATCCTAAACAGATGATATGTCTTGTTGTAGACCTGCATCTCATAGGGATAAAATTTATTATAGCGCATGAAATTTTTTTATTGCTTATAATTGTTGCGATATGTTTCTCCATGTGTTTTATACATTTCAGAAATTTGTTTGGAAATTGAAAGTCAAAGCATACAAGGATACAAAAGAATTAAAGAGAATATGAGTGGACACGGCTGTCGAGAGACAAGATTATACAATCCAATCGAAAGCCTTATATACAGTTATGCCAATTCCATATAGCCTACGCGTACATCAGATAAAGTTCTTGGCGGCAAGTTTCTTTCTGTCGGTCCACCAACAAAATATGTTTTCACAAGAATATGATTGCGCTCCATTGAACAAGCATCTATGACGAACGCCGAACTATATGTAAAGGAAAGAAGAATTCTCATAAAGCAACATGGATACATAATACTATATACACATGTACCCTACCTTCCTCATGCAGGTCAGTTGACCTGATTACCAACAAGTCAACGAACAATAGTATAACCATGCACATATCAGGAAAACCCGACCATATATAACTACCTGCTAGGTAACAAGCTCTTGACTTGAAGTTGCAGTAGGACTTCTTGAATATTATACTGAGTTTGTAGAAGCAAAAACGTATCCAACGAGGAACACATTACATTCAGTAATCTGAAACGTAGTGGAGTTTAGAACTTCTTTACAAAAACGACATGTATAATAGCAAGGGCAGCTAAGAATATTAGTACTTGTACAGCGAATTACATACGAATCAACTTACCTTAACCCATATAAGTGCGCTTCTTCAAAATTCAGCAACAGCCTGACCTTATCTTCCGAATCTATCAATGCTAAGCGTTCAATTATCTCCTGTAATAAAAAAACAACAGCAAAATAATAAAATTGTAAAGATGGATATAAATAACAACCCAAACAAGAATTTACGACTTTAATAAGAGATGACCCTATATTCATATAATTGTGGATATAACAGGGTTAAGTGTTGCACTCTGAATAAATATAGGGGATAACGACACCAAAAACGAACATCCGGTTATTGTAAACGCCGCCAAACACTATCGCAGTAAACTTACCACAATGGTGGTTGGATATGGATATTTATTGATGCTTGTGGATACATTGTCATCACGCAGTTCCGGTGATGTGCTTGACAAAGGTTGATGCACAATCAGTTCAAAAACAGCAGGGAATGACGACAGGATGTTTAACAAGTTCAACATGACCTATAAAACGGGTAAACCGTTCATGACGTCATTTGGAAACCGTCGGCAACATTATTATTTCATAACAAAAGAGTTTTACTGAGACAAATAAATGAACCTTGTGTAGTGTCTTCTCTATGGCATTCTCTTTGATTCTGGGTGATATTATTTTATTGTCGTCTTCTCCTCCCTCCAAACAAAACCACAGATCATGCAGAAGACTGGTTACAAACCCTAAAAATAGCGATGATGACATCGATCTATAGTTCTAATTCCGATACTGAGGCATCAAAGAAGCTACGGCCTACGGATATATTCTTTGACGCATATATTCTTTGTTAAATGCATCATCGAAAAAACTGTTGATGAAAACAAAAAGACTACGTTGTTTACCTGATGTCTCTAAAGCTACAATGCCTGGACAAGTTGCAGCGATCTGCGTGACCATCACACCGTAACCAAACTTTTCACATTTGCTGACCTAAAATATTTTGCAATGTTTGATATTTTTAGATAACTAAATTCACATGGAATGGCAGCCTATATTCCTGGTAGAATACAAAAGTTAGGCTACTCTTTTGCCCGAAATCATATCGACATCGAAGTTAAAACAAATCAAAAACAAAAAGAAATTATTTAAAACGTAAAAAGTATAATGCATATTTACTAGTCTACCTGCAATTTCTTTTTGTATCTTTCGTACATATATGAAACGCATTCAATCATTGCACCAGATTGTTGTAAAAGCAACACACCCTAACATGAAAATCAATTGTACCTTTGACAGAAATTGATGGCCACAGATTTGTTAAAAAAATCATGCATTTTATACAATCAAAATCGGTCAACTATCAAATCGGAAAGTGAGCGTTCGGTGGTACATATTACGTACTTTAGGGGTTCCAGCAAAATTGAGAAGATTGTCTATGAGGCACGTCGGTAGGATAGACCTAGAGAAAAGAAAGGTAATTGTCATAACGAGTACCATTATAACTTTTTAAACATAAATAAATTAGTTTTAATGTTGTTTGCATGTGTATAATGTAGTTTCAGGTACCCTATTAATGGAGCAATAAACTCTGTAGGGATCACCAGTTAGAATTGACAAAGCATGTAAATAAATAAATATATTAGTCACTGCATGCATTGGAATAATAACCTATACTTACCGACTTTCATCACGGATATCATCTTCAACTGAATATTCACCAGTGCACGACTGAAAAATAAACATTATTAAGCTACTTCACCAGCACGTCCACACAAAGATAATACGTACAATAATAAGTAATGATGTGGATCCATTTCTGACAATGGATTTAAAACATATCAGTTTACATTCACTATATGCGCATTAATTTGCATGATTCTTATTAACTAATGATACTGAATACAGCACGTTTTTCATGAACTTTTGGACATTCACGCAATACTTCATTTTGTGTTCATGAACGTACCGATCTCCAAGCGTCTGCTATACATTGATGTAAACCATAATGACTGGTGACAAGTAATCCTTCACAACCATTGTACAACTGTCTACACACGAACACAAACGCACTAACAGACATATGAGGTAACGTCACTTTTCCAGGCAACTGGCCATTAAGAGCCTTTTTTGTAAACTCAATAATAACATGAGCTGGTGCCAATCTACAAAAATAATGTTACTCCTTTAGTGCTACACAGGCAGCGCAGAGAAGGCGGAGGTCGTTGGAGATGGAACATGCATGTGCATGGGGCAACCACGTCCCTGGAGCGAATTTCACACAAGGGATAAAAAATCCCAAGCTTTCAACCTAAACTCTTATTGTCTAAGATATTATTTGTGTAACATTCTAGTGTCAATACCTATTTCGTTGCCATCTATCATGCTTTTCACCATACAAAAGAAGACGTCTTCCGCAATCGGACGCGGCCAAACACGCAAGAACGTCAGCAACATAAAGAAGGGTATTCTTATCCAAGTCTGAAGACTCTTCATCCACCTCCTAATAAACAAAATGATCCATTATATAATATATACTTCGTTAAGTAGTAGCTGAACAAATTTCCATGCACATGCATAATCCTTACAGCAATTCCTTCCAAATATGTTTGAAGAGGTAACAATAATGCATTTGCGACACTGTCCTAAATTAAATATACAATACAGCAAACATCATTAACGAATATTTCAGGTGTTGTAATATCTTGTACATTCCTTTAACGAAGAGACGAACGAAGACAAAAGAACCCACATGCACGTATAGAAAAATCTCCCTGGATATCAACTTACTGCGTGTTAACTGATTACCTTACAAAGCAACTCTTGACTAGCGACACTGTCTGATGCAATCTCTTTTAAAACACCAACAACAAGTTCTCCGGGATGATAAGAATCTAAACGTCAATATACAACATTATAAAACATTTTGTAGCACAATGCTTAATGTTGTTTGTTTGTTTTCGCCGTTTGCTGTAGTTTGCTTTAGTGTATATAGCAACAGAATCAGACTGCACATACAGTACCAGTAAAATTTGGATAATTAGCGGACATTATTTCAATAAACGCAACCACAAGATCGGTAGTGGATACATCATCTGACAATGAAATTGAGAAGAATAATCAAACTTTTTGCATTTATATACAATGAATAATGGACTGTACAGTGTAAACAACTCGTTGCCGCGATAAACTAAAAAAAAATAATGAAAGTACTAATAAATAGAAAAGGTGTACAATGACCAACCGTCAGTATTAGGTAGAGAAACTGGAAATAATTCACGTGAATCTTTATAAAGAAGTAAACGACCAAGCAAACACAACGAGTGCACAAAGTAGATGTAATCAAGTTGCTGGTAACTATAATTACTATCTTTTTTCTCTAAAATGAAAAACAAAATATTTGTGTTATAAATCAAAGCAAAGATACACCATTGTTCATTCACATTATTAACACGATGGTTCATTAGTACGTGTCTTTTAATCACAAACGTCAGGGTTTATACTTGATTCTGTTTCGAATGGCATTTCTACATATTCATCATCATCTTCTAGCACATCGAATGGCAAGAGACTCTTGCTGATTGATGCAAACTCCAGACAATGTTGGATCGTATCGATGAGCTAAGGCAGAGAAAATCATTCTAATTTACAACAACTGAACGAAATGTGGTATTTGAGTTCATTTTCTTAAACTTTGCATACCCCACGAGCGCTCGTGAGACCAACTATGTAATGTAATATAACGTAGCTACTGATATGGACACTCATTGCCGTTGCACATATGTAATGCCAATGTTTTGAATACATGCAGGCCTAGAATAGCTTAGAAGAGACATTCTAAACAATAACCTAACACCTCCGCAAGGATCTTATAGGAATACTAGAATTTTGGTTGAATTCTTTTCTTGCTCTGACACAGGACCACATACCTATAGGGTTTCATGCAATAATTTGTACCTAACTGAAAAAGTTTACGCACCAGGTTGGGATGGCGCTTGAGTTGTTCCACGACAGGTTTTCGGCTGTAGTATCCATGCTACAATAATCACAAAGATTAAAAGACGATTTGAAAACTCATTGAGAGGATGAAGTTTTGGTATGTACATGTACGTACAGTTATTACCATCAGTAAATAATTTTTTTTAGTATTTTCTTATAGTAATACCGCATAGTAATTAGCGTTGTGGCCCTTAGAATCACATCATTTACAGATAGAGATAAAGTATGCTTTGTGGCCACGAGACTTTGCCGAGTAAAAAATACGATGATGAGGACAACAAACACACACGCTTTATTTCGATATCTAAGTAAGCGAGTGTCTGATTACGTCACATGTCATCCTTAATAAGCTATCCTTACCATCCATTTTTTAAACCAGGAAGCCTTCGGATCCAAGAGAGCCAAATAATGCAGTGGAGATATAATAGCATTGAACGAAGAAAGGCCAAAATGGTTGTTACCTAAGCTCAAAAGAGATATCGAGCTTTCAAGAATATCTCCCACAAATCTAGGTAGAAAAGAGTAATGCACGTGTTTATCATAAAGGTGATTGTTTTATAACAGTAGCTTCTCTTGACCAATCATAATTAAAAAGAAAAGTAAGCGAAAACCTAGTGGTGGAAAACCTCATTTAAAAGACTCTATGACTTAAAGGTTCTGAAAACGTTTGTAAATACCATTCCCAACTTAAAAAATACAATTGCTCCGGTACGACAAATCATACAGTACTTGCATGCAATCAAAGAAAGTTAGTTTAATTACCTTTCCGGATACCTGACCCAGTATGATGGAATTTCGTGAAGAAATTCACAGAGTAATCGAAACTATAAAGAATAGATTTCATCTTATTGAAGAACAGGTATTATTCAGAGGATATTTATTCATTAACATCAATATACAAGTTAGTATAATATCAAAAATCAATTGTACTATTTGTAAATCTTAATTTGTACAACTTAATCTTAGCCTTATTTCTCCGACATTTAACCTTAATGAACGCAGAGTTTTCTTTCGACAAATATTATAAACCTACTTTTTTCACCATTTTTTCATTACTCTTTTTCGCCACATTTAATCCGTCGTCAAGCTGTCCTTGTGCATGATTACTGTCTTGAAAAATGCTCGTTAGATGGTTAGCTGCAATAAAAACGCAAATTTTGTCATATCAAACAGGATACGAAATTAAAAAGCCCACTTTTTGCCATTTCTACAGTATATCTAAAATTTCACCACCAGAGACTGTTTAGTTTATATAAATAATAATTCGACTTTTATCGTTTATTTCACAGTATATAATCGGTTATACATGTATACGATTTTCAATAAGTAAGAAAAGTTTCGACGTCCGATTAAAAAGAGTTTTCTCTGTTGATATACTTACTAAGACAAGTAAACACCTCACATGTCGCATGTGCATTGTTAATTATATGCATCTTTGAGAGGAGTTTGAGGCTGATATCCTGAATAAAAGATTTTAAAATACTTTGAGAAAAATATCAGTTTTCAATGCAGATTTCACTAATGTGAGTAGTGATGTAAAAGCGTCAACTTTTGAGGAAGATCTACACTCACAATATGAAAGACAACATATATGAGGAGTATCATTGCTTACCGAGATTCTGTCATTCTCATCACCAAGAGCAAGACCAAGACATTTCTTTAAGGAACTCCAGTGTTCACTGGTAACAACATCTGACTGAGGAATTTGAGACAACATCATAAGCACCTGATATCGTGTCTATAGAATAAAAGCAGCACGTTAAAAGCGCTTGATGTACAGCATCAATACTTGAATCCATGTAACCATAGGTATTATTGGATTGTTGGTACGATTCTACAGTCAGTTTTGTCGCCGAAGTTTATGTCTTAGTGAGACACGATTATCATGCCTCAGATACCGCATACATTCAGTGAAGGCAGGATGCACGGAGACACTTGCATGAACAGAGGCTAATATTTAGAGCAGGCTAGAAGGTTTCGGTACCATGCACTGGGGATAAAGTAGGGTGCATAACGATAAAAGTAGGATATGGCTAGCTGCTATAGGGCACCTTGGTTAAGGTAAGACATATAGATTTTAAGGATGAATAAAGGCTACAAGGTACCAATACAATAGCAGGATTCTAATATATAAGGCAAAAGAAGGATGCCTGCATGAACACGGTTACATACCTCGACTGATTGTGACATATCCAATTTTTGAGAGATAGTTCGCAACTTTTCATGTGGCATAAACATATAACTCATCTATGAAGTAACATAATAATATAATGAAAACATGGCTACTCAATGGTAAAGTACACATGCAATCATACCTTGCCAGATGATGATAGTGACGATTCTTCTTCAATGGTATCTGACAGATATTTTCCGCAATATTCATTGTATTCATCTGTCCACATTTGATGCTTTGATGATTCATCAAAACTTTGAGTCTTTTAACGAAATAAGGGCATGTTTTGTAATATAACCAACAAATTTCACTGTCATTTAACGAAACTATTATGCACCTGTTTTTCGATCATTTTTGTAAAGAATAATAAACAAAATATACAGGAATTTGAATATCAGGGGATCTTTCTATTGTAGTGAAATTGTCAAATAATTTCAACCACGAAAGGCTTCCGCCTTATTCTTAGGCGAGACCTTTTAAATTTAATTAACATCAAGGCATGTACACTACAGGTATAATCTTAAATTATGTCCTACCATTTCATTAACAGTAGCCTTAACACTTTCTAAAACTGACTGAGACAATGTGGAGTATCTAGAAAGAAGATGAAATGATTTGAAACTGTCAATCACAAGGTGTAAGAGGGATTCAGCGAAGTATTTTCCGAAGTGATTATATTTATATCATTACTGAGGGAAATATTTCGAGGAATCCCCTGAGCAGAGGATCTATATATATAAATGATATATTATATATGGTACTGAGAAAATGACTGTGAAAACGTAAAACGTACTCCAAACATTTTCCCACTTCTCTCTTTACCCACAAATCTCACAAGTTTAGTTGCGGCTTCCAGGAATAATATTCACCTCTCTAGCCGTAAATACTTAGTGACTGCTGTGGTGAAGGACTGCAGATATTAGTATTCACTGATGAATGGGTACCATCTATGTGTTGCGAATTATAATTTGCACTTGCACTATATAATCTCCAGTGTTGCAAGATTATTTTCTCAACTTAGTTTCAGTTGTATATAATTGTTCCCATGGAATTATCGAGAAGTCTCTCCTGCTTGAACTTGGCAAAATATCCCTCAAATTCACCTATTCTAAACACACATAAAATAGCTTGCAATGTCACATAAATAAGCAGTTTGTGTGGCGAAAAGAGACAGGCATCCTGCTACAAGAGATCTACTGCCAGTAAAACATAGGAAACTGTATAAACTCACTCTTGAGAAACTAATAATTCTTCAATAATTAAAGGGATGTAATTAGTGCAATCAACTCCACCCACTGCCCGTTTCTCCATCTCATTTGCCACAACAGGTAGTAATGCTGTATTGATGAGACTCCGTAGTTGACGAACAAACTCATAACTAAAAATGAATGATATATAAATTTTATGCACCAAAGTTAAAACAAACTTTGATATATAATATTTTGCAATTTTAAAACTCCATGCATCAAAAGAACCTGAATGTCTGGTTTAACACCCAGTACATAAACCAGACTGCTATCTTCCCTAAATACGCGCCAAGGTTTATTTTTCCGGAAAAAAATGCACGTCTTATGGAAAAAATTTCAATGATTTATGGACTTACAGGGGGTACTCTTTCAGCATTTTTGTGGGGGGGGGCAGAGCATTTTTTTGCAATTGGTCACGCTTTTGCCTGTCACTGTGCATGGGATTGTGAATAGTTCACAAAGTTAGCATGTTTATACCCAACAATAGTTCTGAAAAACACCATACTGCTTTTACATCAGCATCTGCATGCTTCACGTTTGCCCACCACAAAATCACGCACGGAATATCTATACTATCAGCGCACACAACAAAGATAGCAGTCTGGTACATAATACATTGGTAGATACGAAACGTTACTAGGCAAAACATGCAATTTTAATAATACATTAAAAAATTGACCAGTCAATTTTAACGAGCATTTAATGAATATTTTAGGAATTCAATTTTAGCAGGAAGCCCTTCCTATCGTAATGCTTTTACATGAAAATGCTGAAATAGACGTTTTACAACTTTACATCAAATTATACATTTGAAATATTTAATATAGTATGATAGTATACCGATGAAAAATTTCGTCTCTCGCTTCTAAATGTGTTAGATAATCTTCTGCAGCAGCTAATGATCCTGCTGCTTTAAGTTCTGGCTCTAAACGTGAAATGAATTGTTTCAAACAAGCAGTAAATTCGCTTTGAGTTGGTTCTTTGCTCCCACCGCTTTCAGCCGCCATATTGAAAATTTTATTTATTCTTTCCACGCGTTGCCAAGTAAACGACGCGAAAGACGCGAAAAGTTCTCGCAGACTCTGCAAAAATCATTGACTGGAACATCCTATTTAATCAAGCTGAAATTAAGCTTCAATCCATGAAATACCCCTGCAAATACCCGGATATTTCCAAGACTGAGTTTTCGAGTTAAAATAGGCAATAACCTATCATCCAAATCGAATAGCTTTTATGAAAGCCAATGCAGATTCTCCTTGATTGTATTTGCAATGACATCCAACATGGTGAAATTCTGTTTGACTTTCATTCGCATTACCTCATTTTACTGCGAAGCGATTAAATGCCCTGTTTAGTTAAACTAAACCAGCATCGACCAAGATAGCCAAGTCAAGAGATAATGTGTTTGGTGTATTTAATATTTGGTGCAGGTGTACCGTTATGTACTACATCTACGACGCAACGTTCTGTGATTGTCATGATATTATCAGATTGCATATAGGAGTAAGAGTAAGCTAGTAACGAGATGTGGTATCCTGTAAAGCACAAAAAATAGCAGATGGTCTAAAGGTGACTATAATTAAGCCGATATATTTAAATTAATGTATGTATTCATACTTGCTGTCCGGCGTTGCATACATTTACATCGTTTACATGCAGGTGGCGAATTCAACGAACGGCGTGTTTGCTGTGTTTTTCTTTAAAACAAATTTAAAAAAGTCTGAAATACTTTGTACCCAGTTATCGTAATGATCTAGACGTATTTCCGTCATTTGCGTGGATAAAAGTGAGTCTTTTTATCGTTGCTGCGAAATAATATTTTCAGTTATACTGTAAGTATTGTGTTAAGAAACTGTAGATATTATAGGCTTCACATGCAACCTGCTCAAGATTAAACCAATCGTATATTTTCTTCTTTTATATTCTCTGCCATACATTTTATTAAACAGCAAAGAGGTTGCAGTTACGAACGCAGCCGCAAGTCCGAAAATCCTGGGAGAGCGAGGTAGTCGCACATCGTGTATTTACGTCTGTTATCCAGTATCCAACACAGTCAGGCGAATATAACTTTTGACAATGTATGCGTAGCTGTCAGGAGCATATTCATTACTATATTTTCCTTTTAGGATAACTGCATAACATTTTCATACTTTATTTGTACTACTAGTAACAGGGGTCGACACACTCGTTAAGGCTTTGAAACGACCATTTGAATCCTCTTTAGAATCATACGGTATATACCTAGCTGTGAAATCGGTACTTTGGCCTTTACTGCACATTCGATCTAAGTTATGTTACTTGCATACATGCACCTATATATCCCAATTTTCCAAGGAAATGCCCTTTGATATCTTTAAAGACCGAGGACTTGGCTTAACAATTTATCTTTATAAATCACATCATGCAGGCAGAAATTTCCCTCAAGAAGCCTAAAATGATGCCATATTTCTTCATCTTCAATATCTTGGTTGTCATAATTTCTTCAGGTATACAGTACGATTTCCGCTTTTGTTTCTTTTGAAAATATTCATTCTGGTTTTCGTGCAAAGTATAGCGTTATCCTTTCACGCAGGATGTTAAGGTTCAGAGCGTAAAAAATGTGATTTAATTCTCGACATTCAAGACGTATCTTTAGTGCAAAGATATGCTATATTTTGGCACAAACTGAATCTAGTTTAATATTTGCCTAATTAAAAAACAACTACTTATTTCAGGCTTGGCCAAACGAGATGAATTTCGACACATTCCTCACGGATCGAAGCCAACAATCATATGGTGGACGCCTGACACGTTTCCTCACAGCAGAAAAGAAAAATCATCTCATAACATTAAATGTAATGCTGGTCCTTGCATCACTACTGTTGACAGACAATTAGTTAACAACTCGATTCCTCAAGCATTCATGTTCTATGGAACAGATTTCCGTGCCAATGATCTTCCACTTCCACGGTATCCATGGCAACATTGGGCGTTGTTTCATGAAGAATCACCAAAAAACAATTGGATTCTTAGTCATGAAGATTGTATAAGGTTGGATTCTCTAAATTGAATGAGCGGATAGTGATTTTTCAAAACTAGAAAAACCCTTCTTTGCAAAAAAATGGACTCGCTGTTATATTGCCAGCACGATGTAAAACTCTAAAAACCTTACGCCACAGGTAGGTGAATGATGGCAAACATTTTTTTTCAGATTATTCAACTACACTGCTACATTTAGTCCCAAGTCTGACTATCCAGTCACATCACAGTATATAAAGGACCCAAAAGAATGGGCTGAAAGACCTGCTGTTTCCACTATTGACAAAAACAGGTAAGTTGGCGTAAATTTATGTTGTATTGAGTATCCAAATCACTAAATGCTCATTATAAATCCAAAAAAAATCATGAAATACCTTTAGTCTTTTACAACCGTCACTTGCCGACAAACAGCGACCGAATGGTAACACGGCTTCACTGATAACTCAGCTAAAAGTGCTAAAATAATTTATTACTTTCATACCAACTATTCCAAAAACAAAGTCTAAATAATCTGTCTTATAGATATCAACATGAAGAAGGCCTGGCTCCGATAGTGTACGTCCAACGAGATTGCAACCCTCCATCGGATCGTGACCGCTATATTAAAGAGCTCATGAAGTACATTGACATCGACTCGTATGGACCTTGTTTGAACAATAAAAAAATCCCCGAAAATATTGATGGGTTCCATAATTTTGATAGTCCTGATTTTCACGCCTTCTTAGCAAAATACAAATTCAATATCGCTTTTGAAAACGCCATATGCGATGGATACATGACAGAAAAGCTGTTTCGTCCCCTTAAGGCCGGAAGTATTCCAATTTATATGGGCTCTCCTTCGGCGAAAGACTGGTTACCGAACGAAAACTCCGCCGTATTTGCATCCGACTTTCCAGGACCTAAGCAACTGGCACATTTTTTACACGATTTAAATCACGAAGATGAGGTATACAACACGCATCTAGTGCACAAGAAGCCGGGGGGGATTTACAATAAGGCATTGTTCGCCGGAATAGAACAGAGAGGTTGGCGCCTTCTTGGGGATTGGGACAAGGATAACTTTGGTCATAGAATGTATGCCGGTTATGAGTGTTATGTTTGTGATCGGTTGTACAAATGGAACGATACACTGAGTAAGCACCTGAAAAACCCGCAAACAGCTGCTCCACCTGCCAGTAAGATTGGAGATAATTCTCATCTAGGCTGTCCTGAGCCAAAGCCATTGATTCCTATGGAAGGCCGGTTTCCACAATCATTTTCCTATTGGCAAGGCTTACGCGAGGCTAAAGCATTGTACGAAATGATCCTGAACCGAGAAAAAGATTCCAGGAAATTTATTGGAAAATATCTAAAGTTGAGCACTGATAAATACCACGTGCCAAAAGATGAATTGTAAAATATAGCACACGGAAACAAATAATTTGCTCATCGGTAAAATCTTTGCAAGTTTAAATTATTTCCTGTAAACGTAAATAATGTACCATATATAAGATTCACGAATTTTTTTCATGCACGTAAATTATTTGGTGATTGTTGTAGTTGTCATTTTAAATAGGATGAAGGGGGGCATGTGAATACATGTCAATTTAAATATATAATATAATTGTACAATTTATAGCCATATAGTATATGTAATAATGTATAATAGATTGCTTCAGTTGTCTCAGTCACTTCTTCCTTAGTTACTTCTTCAAATTAGAACATTTTCTTTCCCATCTTGGTATTTTCATCTTTAATTTCCTAGTTCCTCGAGCTCAGTTCCTCTGTCTTGCCTAATGGTTGAAATCTGAATGTTTCTCAGCATTACTGGTATGAATTACGCTCAGAATTGGCTCAGAATAACTCGACAGTCGACAATTTAAATATTTGAAGAAAAAATGCTCCAAAAAGTATACACGTGTTATCTCTAAAACCTCAGAATACACGAGGCATTAATGATTTAATATTTAAATTAAGATCAAATTTTCAACTTTAATTTTTTTTCCTTCTTCAGTTCAGGGTGAACAAAACAGCGTCCTAATGTCGGAGTATTTTTTCGTAAGGAATTCTCATAATTCAACACGTTGTTCCATCATGCATTATTCTTCAGTGCGAAATTAGTGTTAACTAACAGTTGCTGGTTGCAAATAGGAATAACATACAAGTTAGCTAGTATTCAGAGGAGTCCATTTGATCGACGTGATTCCATCTTTCAATTCTTACAAACTGCTTATACAAAGACAGGACAACGAAAACGCAATAGATCTGAAGAAAAATAGATTTACGATTACATGATTTACATCAGTCACTTAAATGTTTTTACAGTAGCTTTTTTTATCCCACAACATAGATTATATTTAATTTGTTAGTTATTAATTTAATTAAAGTTGAATAAAGTTTTAGAACATGCACTCACATTTATACATAAGACCAATGCATCTGGAATCCACACTGATGAGTCGATCTATAAATAAATATTGAAAATGTAGACTTTGAATTTGATGTTGGTGGATTTTACATTGACTGGCATGGCGGTTCTCATATGCATAACAAGAAAGGAAATGTTAAACGTAACGACCTAAAGCCTAGTTCACACATGAATCTGGTATCCGTATCCCCCTTGTCACTGGTGCACAAAATGTTTCGTCGATCGGAAAATATACAATAGATCCCCGAGTTAGAGCGCTTTCCAATAAGCGGCCAAAATGGTCAGACCGCTCATATTTTGAACTGAAGTAGAGTATTTCTTTGGAAATATAGCGGTGAAACTGCATTGAATGCAGATTTCTTAAAGCACTCTAAAATACCAGTAATCGGTTTGTACTGAAAGACAACAGGACCGGTCTGGCCGTTTTTACCGTATAATCGAAAGTGCCCTTAGTGCATAAATCAGGCCTAATTTCACAATTAATGCAAATTTGAAGTTATCATAATTATTTATTTCTTTAGAAATTGATTGCTTTCACATGAAGTAATGACTTAATGGCACTAAAGATGAGCATAAGTTCATAACCAGGAATAGGCCTCTAGGCTAGTTGCGAGAAAATTCTGTTTCTTTTATAGTATTTGGAGCCATTTGAAATTACAGAACAGTAGAGTATTTTTGGATGAAAGTCGGGTTGATAACTGTGTTAGTTCTAATTAACAAGATAACTGACAAGAGTGAGGACAACTGGACAAGAAAGCGATAGTCATGACCGACATGACGATATTACAATATAAAGACCTATAAACTTGTCATGCAGCTCTCATAATGTCCATAAATATGGCAGATATCACTCGGTTTGAACACGGTTTGAAGGTGGACCGGCATGGTGTCGTACAGTTTCAATTGTATTGGTGAGCGAACTTCAAAGACGAGTAAACAGGTAAGACTGGTAAGTCGTGTTTTCCCATATATTTCTCGCGTTTTTATTGTGTGAACAACTCTAATTAAATATGCGCTTTTTATATCTCTCGCCATGTTGTAATTAATTTCTGGCCATGACGTCATGGTGGAATATATTTACTATAATTGTTTCATTAACTTCATATTGTTATTCACCTCAACACCTTTGCCGAAGTAAAACATCAAGGACAAAAAGTCGAATATTTCGTAAAGCAAAACTCCAATAATGTAAGGAATTAACAATTTAGAACGTTCCTATGAAACAAACAGTAAAAAATTATTACTATAGTAATCATTTTCGAATTCTAACACAATACATTCTGATGGCGCAGTAAATTACTAAGTTAATTCATATCTCTTCCGATAACTTCCCAGGCCACTTCGTCTCATAAACACCCCCCCCCCAAAAAAAAAATGGCTATATGTTAGTTTGTGTAGCTCAGTGGCTTAGTGCATGTCTTTTTATGTAGAAAGCAGTTATTTCCCATGCATTTTTCTCACATGTAGCGATAAGGCCAAATGATGAAATCCAGTATAATAGCATCCCTACCTAGCACCCAGGGTATATTTGTCAAGCCTTTGTGGTGTATAACCTTATATAGAGAACTCAAATAATATAATTTCAAATTGCACGTGGGAATTAGTCATGCATATTTTCCTATTTTAATTATCAATATTTCAATGATCGTAAATAATGTTTGATGGCAAATTCTTTATCCTACCTTGAAAACTGCTAATGATAATAGTAAAGAAGCAAGGAAAAGTATGATACCAAACGCAATTTCCATCGTCGCCAAGATTTTTGTACCTATAGTTATGATGTTATTTAGCAATTAATGTGATCAAATACCTATAGTTATGATGTTATTTAGCAATCAATGTGATTAAATTAAAACTAAAACGGTATTGCCGGTCAAAAGAGTTGCGTCACTAGTATCTATTTATAATATATGATATATATGTACGCACGATTTTGAGGACTGAAGTGATCACATAAAGCATTACTGAAATGATGCTATGTATAAGACCGTATAGTATTTTTTAAATCTCTTACTTTTTAGCTTGATTTCGCCATGTTTAATTTGGTATCGCGTCAAGCTTTCCATTGATATAACATTAACGATTTGCAACGAGACCATGAGAAGCGCTGTAAACTGAAAAACATATAAATAATTACTTCTTACAAATCTGCAATAGCTAGGTGTGGAGATCCACTATTGATAGAGCTCAAGACCATACACAAGGCAGAGCAAAAATAGAAATAAAAATAAAAAGATTAAACAGTTAATCTACAAAAACGAATATAGGGAAGGAGTGAATTCTGTGGTATAGCGTAAATACAACGAAAGTTACATTCACGACTTAAATCGTTATGTACTAATATATGGTTATATAGCAATGTATATGGCTATATATTATGGCCGGCCATTCGATCCCCAATGACGTGTAGCAAATCCGTGCCAAGCCTTAAAGTATATATATATATTCATGGACTTTTGATTGTGCTCATTACTGTACTATAGATCAGTAATCTACATGCATGCACGGTATTATTCTGTCAGAACATCTCAAGTATCGAGACAATTTTCTCACCGTACATATATATGTTTATAGTACTATATACACAGCATGCAGCCAACATCGCTTCACAATTCAGCATTATTTCGCGTTGATGTAACATATATATCATTTAATATTTTAATATAGGCTTATAACGACAATTGACAGTTTGTTGTTTGACATTTTATTGTTTGTTGGTACTCGATGCTTATTATTACACCCAGAAACGACTTTTCGTTAATTTACGAGTTCATGTAAAAGGTTTCTTCATCTGCGATCGGCAAGATGGCTTGGCAAGACAGCTGGCACGCGCCGCTCCCAGCATTTTCACATTTGACTCAATTTGTCTGCAGCAAAATGTTGACAACAATTCTCGAAATTTAAGATGTATAGATTGTTGCAATTTAGTGACTTTTCGAAGGTTCAGATTGAAATATTGCATGAGTAACAAGTCGTATAGTATGTGATGACTTCGTTGGAAAAAGGAGTAGATAATTAAAACTTGTTGACATTCGGCTTGGTCCAACAAATCCTACTGAGTACTGACCATTTGCAAACATATCACTGGTCAGATTGGACTGTCTGAGTAAAAATTGAAGCTTACCAAAGTCCATGCACCAGAAATTAGTCCACCAGTTCGCAGAGAAACACAACAACAGCATTTTGATAGCCACCTCATGTTTCTTCCATTCTTCTTCTTTCTCGGTATGAATTTCTCTTAGAATCGCAATTCCGTGGAAGTAAAACGGAAATAAATAAAGATAATTTATTGTAATGTATTCATTGTTACTACACATATCGGCAAAGAACTTGTGGCAAGTGGCAATGGTAGAATAATGATTGTGAAATACGAACTTACGTATATTGACTACTTATACCTAAGTTGATTCTATCCTAGTTGGTGCGTTGATATTGATCTTATATAAGGCTAATATCCTACGAAAGTATGAAGAATTATGATTTTGAAACTGAACCAGTCATAATATTGTCTCGAAGGTGTATTCCTCATGTGACAGGCGCAAACAAACAAAGATAAAAGCACTCCAAGCCAATTATCGTTTGTTGTTACGTTCGGCACATGAGATTTAACTGAGCCCGACGTTTGAGCATGCAGACCCCATGCGAACACCTCTATAACTGACTAGTGGGGTGGTTTATAAGATGATTTACCATACTCCGACTAGTAGGGTGATTTATAGGCATGATGCATGACGAGTTAAATTCTTTAAACGCGGCTTGTAGAAATGAACGCTCATACCAATACTTGCAGACATCATCACGGTTGCTTAAAATAGATCAAGGCATACCGTGTGTCCCAAAAATAAAAAAGTACCCTCTATTGAATTCACTCTTTCGTTGTTAAGGCCTTAAGGGTATTTTTCTGGGACACAGAGTATATCAGTAGAGTTTTGTCACATTTGTATATCAGAAATGTAATCATGCACTTAAAGTGATGTAGCCAGCTTCGATAATTTGCTATATTCATATATTCATGTTGTGCGTGACCAAATCCTTTTGAAATCGATTGTCTTTACAGTCTGTTAAATTGAATATATTAATATAAGCCCTCTCTACTATACTTAATAAAAAAGTAAATATTCCATTTTCGAAACTATAGATATACTTGTATTATTCTAGACGGCGCAGTTCCGTTAATCCACTCATCCCAAAACCCACTCGCAAACTCGCTGCGATTGCTTGCAAGTAAAATGAACTTAAAAGTATTTTTATTGGATGAAAACCCTCGCAGCGAGCTTGCGACTTTGCTATTGCGAGGGCTAGAAATCCGCCATTAGGGTCAGCGCCATTTGTTCTATCGTTGAGTTTTGATGAGTAGTATTGCGAACGCATAGTTTAGTTTTATTGTTGTTTCGATATTACAAGAATTAACGTTCCCCATTGAGTGACAGATTCAGGGTTAGTAAAATATTATTTCTATTATATTACTGATATTACTTCAACACTTCAACGAGAAAGGCTAAGAAAATCGGAGTATATTTAAACGAGACAACGAAAGCTATATACCTATAGGGGCAATTTTTACGTCGGAAGTATAAACAAGAAGCGTCAATTCCCAATTCGCGGTGATCTTTAAAGGTGATCTTTCTCTAGTTGTGGGCACAAGGGGAAACGTGGGAGCCATTTGGGGGAGGCATCTTTAATAGTCATAACAGTCTATTGTTTTTGAAAAAGTCAATTTCAGAGCTATAGAAGCGAGGATAATTGATTTAAGGAGCAAATACATGCACATGCAGATCATGCTATCGACTGTTTTTCGCAGCCAGCTGACTAAAATCTTGACGGGTGCGCCCAGCTTTAAATATTAAACAGGCGACATGCTTAATCAAATCTGCATGCTCTTCAAAACCTTAAACCGTTTGTACTCAGCGCTACCACGTTCAGCGCTACCACGGCCTTTAAACTAAAAAAAATGCCTTTGGCTGTTGTGTTTTTAGTTTTTGCAATGTAATGTTCCTATGTTTGCGAGTGTAAATAAGCCGGCATAAACCTTATTTATGAAGGACAACCTTAATCAATTGAATCACCTCTGCATGTATCAATATAATAAATAATATTCATTATTATTTATTTAAAAGAATTCACAGTCTGTGATTGGCTAATAGCCATGTGCGAAATCGTCATATCCAACGTGTGACGTCATAACATGTAATACGTCAACACAATGGCTTCCTCAAGTGAAAGGTTCGGCAACTTTGAGGAATACATGTTCATTCTTTTAAATAAATAATAAAACATTTATTGAATTCGGTTTTCACATGATATGAAGAATTATCAAGTCTCAGTTTGTTATTATCAACCTCAGCCTTCGGCTTCGGTTGATAATGACAAACTTCGGCTTGATAATTCTTCATATCATGTTCAACCTCATTTAATAATTGCTAATTAACAGAGACCTAGCACTTAGTCTTGGGCGAATTTGGTTCATTTGTATTTAATTAGCATTCTCTTTCCCAACGAGCATTTATTTTGTTTATGTTGCCTAGTGACGCTTTTTGGCGACTTTAACCTGTTCAGAAAAGAATAATGTGTGGGTATCATTGTATCATTATATATTGCGTGCATGGTCACTTGTAAGAAATTGGGAAGACATCCTGTCAGCAGGTCACTTAAAAACTGGTCTCTTAGTGCTTTATTGGCACATTTCATTTCAGAAAATACAAAAACATCCGCATCGACGTTAAAATTCTATTCCATATTTGACAAAAAATCAACCGATTGAAAAGTTAACGCACAACGTAACAATTGCCAAAATTAAGTGCAGATTCGACAAAGGCCGATAGTTAACCATCTTTAAGGGATTGACGGAATTCTATATAATTGTAAAAATGATGGACCAAGCAAGAAATATTTCTCGACCACCTGACGTATTTTTCGTATTTGGTTTCGTGGTCCTACCTGGGAAATACGAAGTTGAACGAGATGTTGTCGTGACATTGGTTGGTATAATGGCCTTGATCAGTGTGATATTTAACGCCATCCTATTCCTTGTTATACTCAAAGATCCGTTTAAACAATTACGAACAATAACAGCAATCTTACTGGCTTTTAACTCAATGTCAAATCTACTAATTTCTTTGATATTACTTTTGGACGGAGTGCTATTTTGGGCTCACGAAAATTTGTTCCCTGAACTTGTTGTATATCTGAACTCGTGTGGGGCTTGTTTATACTGTGTTGGAAACCTACTGCATACTTTAAATATCTATACCTCGATTGTATTCCCTGTTCGTTACGGTTACTTGGCTTCGAAAGTCCATAAAATGTTGGTGCCGCTTCTTGGAGTGATATTCGTAACAATTACATGTGTGTTTATAGTTCCACCGTATACGTTACCTAAGAGCGAGTTACCCTCTTATGTTAAAGGAGTTATGACCTTTGTATGCGTCCAACTTGGAGTGTTAAGTATAACATTCGTTTGTCTATATACAAAAATATTTCGAGAACTATACGCACGTAAACAAAGGCTTAAAGTATCTTTTCACATCAAACGTTCTACAACTCAAGGAATGAAGATATTGAAGAGAAACTATGAAGTTACGAAGACATTGTTTATTCACGTTCTTTTCTTTGTGACAGCTTCTGTTCCAGGAAGTGTAATCGTCATGATCGATTTACATTGTAGAACGTGCGGTGACCCGGTGAAAGTTCAACTAGCCACACTGTTCACATTACCTTGCGTCTTTCTGATGTTTGTATTTCAGCCGCTTCTGTGGTTATTCAGATTAAAAAGTTACAAGCATGCGATGAAAAAAATTCTAGGTTTCAGTAGGCGTTCTATATCTAAGACTTTTACGAACAGACGGAACAGTAGAAACTTCACCATGGAGGCGGTGGGAAGAAACCAAAGAACAAGAACTCTTTCTTCAGAAATTCCTAATTAGCAGTTGCATGATCATGCAAGATAGAATTATTCACAAAATTAGCCGCTTTCTGTTTCTGTCCTCTTAAAGGCGCTGCTTCTTGAATATCTCATATATATCCCTCAAAATTCTCCTGAAACGGATCATCGAGGCAACGTCCGAAACAAATTACAAAGATAAATGGAAAGGCGGAAAAATGCTGATAAAGTTAGTCGATGTCATAGGGGCAAGAGATGCAACAAGAAATTAACAATGTTAGTGCAACGGATACTATATTTATCGATATATATATATATATCCGTTGGCGACCCTTGTGTAAAAATTTAGTTATATAACTGTAGCTTGTTGAAAAGATTAGCCAATCAGTATCGTGTAGTTTAACAACCCAGAATGTAGTAAAGAGTTTTATATAATCAATCCCTGTGTGTAGGTCACAAATTGAAAATAATCAAGTAAAATGGATGCATTTTTTGAAGGGTATATCGCAATGCACGAAACATGACGAGTGCATACCAAACACCTCAGAGTGAGTATGTGCTGAGCCACGTGTGCATGAGCCATAAGTACGTTGCAATATACATGTGCACGCAACACGATAAAAGACCTGGATACAACGTTGCAGATGTGTGACAAGGATTTATTTAACTTTACTGCGATTGCGTGTTGAATAAGTTCAAAAGCGGTGGGGAAATTAAACAAAGTGGCCTTTCCAATAGACCTTTCCCATAATGATGTTAAACGCGGAAAGTCTGATGTCACACGAATTTTGATTAGCTATGCAAAACTGTCGCAATCAAATTTCGTCTAATATCAGGCGTTCCCCGTTCAGTGAGGCCGTTATGCCGAAGGTGCATATACTTTCTGTCACGGTTGATATCGAGGACGGAGAAAACAATTTTTTATGATAGGATAAATATGAATTTAGGCCGTTTTATCGTGTGATCGCGGTGTGAACAGGGCGTCAAAACGACAAAATGATTTCAGTGAAAACGTGTGCACACGGCAGCCTTAGTTTTACTTCTGATTACAGATTAGTTGAGTCTAACTGATACAACTATTTAGGCGCCTATATATCATTAATTAATCATTCTCTCGGCAGGTTGCCTGAATTGGATCTTTTCTTTGATGCCTTAAATTATTCTGGCCGGTTGTGAGTTTTGACTATATCATAGGTTAGTTCATTAGTGAGTTCAAATTCACTACACTTCTCAATTATTCTTATCGATCGAAGTTCAAAACTAACCGACTATAGGCCTAATAGCCTAAAATTGTTACCATTGAACATCGGAAAACAGGTCAAATTCGACACTATATGCGTAATATAGACAAAAAGAATTATTCATGCAAATTCGACGAAATACCGCATATAACTGTGAAGTTTGAAGTGTAACGAAATTCATTTGATCATATAGAATAAATATGATGATGGATCTAACAAGAAATGGCTCCCAAGTACCAGACCTATTGCTCGTATTTGGTTTTATAATCTTGCCTGGAAAATACAAAGTTGAACGAGATGTTGTCGTGACATTGGTATAATGGCCTTGATCAGTGTGATATTTAACGCCATCCTATTGCTTGTTATACTTAAAGATCCGTTTAAACAATTACGAACAATAACAGCAATCTTACTGGCTTTTAACTCAATGTCAAATCTAATAATTTCTCTGATATTACTTTTGGACGGAGTGCTATTTTGGGCTC